TTCCCATCCTGCAGATGAGAAAACCAAGGCTGGCCAATGTGCCAAACTACACTCTAGCTCCAAATGATCTGATCTTTCCACTGGTTTGTAGGTAGGACTGGCTACCTAATTTGCAGGGCCTGGTGTAAAATGAAACTTCAGGGCCCCTTGTTCAATGATGAAGACTTTCAAGGTGGCAACAGCACAGCATGAAACCAAGTGTGGGGCCTTGTGCAACCATACAGGCCATGTGCCCACGAGCCAGCCCTGTTTGCAGAACCTCTTTCCAAGAGGATGTAGGGCACGACATTCCAGGACCTGCGTGGCTTGAACCAGGGCTGCCTCATGGAATATAACAGAAACAGGCAAGCGGAGGATACTTCCAGGAAGAGCCCCTTTTCCTCTCTGTACCCCATTTGCCTCGTCTAGGAAATAGATGCAATGACAGTCCCGCGTTGTGGGGCTGCCTGGGAAGAAAGACAGGAGGAGCGCACAGACATAGTGAGCCCAGGGCCTGGCGCCTTCTGAGTGCCATCTCTCTTTTAACACCTACCCCCAAGGGTTCTCTGTTATCTGAGGCCAATCTTTTGAAATGTGGATGACCACAAGACCCCATCCATCCATGCTTTAGCTCTGCACACAAGTGCTTGTGTGAGGATGTGCAGTCCTGGATGCTGGAGCCTCATGAGAGTGTACAGACTTAGGCCCTACCCAGGCACCGGGCAGGCTGCTCTCAGAACTGCCTCTGCCCTGGGGACTTTCTGGTGGAGATGGGGAGAGAATAAAACAAACAACATGGCAAAATACACATTTGCATATGTACTTGCCCCACAGCAAACCCCGATGGGAAGCGGGTGTGTGTGGGGGATAGCCCAGTCTAAACACCATTTTTTGTTCTGGAATCCAGACTGACTTAAGGCTCTGGGCACCTGCTGGGTGAGCTGAGGGCCTTTTCTGTCCTTGCTCTGGTGTGGGGTGAGAGGTTTGCTAACTTGTGCTGGTCTCGGTCACCCCTATTTGTCTCCCACATTTCCTGTTAGGGGATGGAAGGGAACTGGCTTGGCCTGTCCCTCACTGGCTCTCTACCCCAGAACTTGTTGGAAAATGAAAAATAAGAAAATGCTGCAGAGAAACTTCAAGGATTCAGCACTGCTGTCAAAGACACAGGTTTTTGTCTGGAGTCAGACTCAAAGTCTGGGTTCAAATCCTGACTCCACTGGTTTTATGCTTCTTAATAGCACAGCTGACATTTATTTACTACCTGCCACTCTGTGCCAGGTGCTATACTAATTGTTTTACAAGTATACTCTCATTTAATCCTTTTAATAGCCTGTGAGGCAGCCACATGGTGAGAAATGGAGCTGGGTGCCAGCTGGAGGCATCCGACGACCATCCGAGGGGGTGGAATTTGAGCTGGTTTCTTCACTGGGAAATGGAGACGACGATAACTACTCTGCAGTTACAAACTGTTGCAATACATGGATCCCTAGTAATGTAAGCCCTTCAGCCCACAGGGCCTGATACGCAATATAAGTAATAACCATTAACATTTATTACCACATCACCATCATAAATCACAGCATAGGTCATCATCAGTATTGGCATCATTATTTTATACCAGGGGAAACTAAGGCCCAGAAAGTGAGTGGCATAGAGAGGATGAGAATTGCTCTCTCCCCATCCCTACTGAGTGTTCTAAAGAGCGATCCTTGAATCGTCCCAGATGACGATCCCACAGAACATGGATCCACGGTCGCTCTTGGCACCGGTCCGGTCACTGCCAGGGCTGGGTTAGTTTAAGGGGCTGGATTGGAAGGGCCCAGGCAATGCTGCCTGGGCTGGGAAGCTGCTACCCCGCAGCGGGTGTGAACCTGCCCCGGCTCTCCACGGTCCTGTACTCTCACCCCGCACTTGTCCTCAAGGCTATCGCTGTTGGTCTCCTTCCTGATCCTCCAGACCACGGACTCCTCAAGAGAGGGGCCAGGGTCTCTCCTGAACCAGCTGCATGCCTGGAGCCTAGCACAGTGCCTGGCACAAATAACGCTTGCCACAGCACAGTGGTACCACTAATGCGACCTGAGAGATGATGGCTCCTCCTAGGCCCAAGAGAAGGACATAACAGGCGGCACAGAGGAGTGGTCCAAGCCAAGGCTATGGGTCAGACTGACTTAAATCCAAATCCCAGCTCAGCTGTGTGGTCCTGGGCAGGATACTTCATCTCCCTGGGTGCCCGGTTTCCTGCCAGGTGCAAAAGGGATAACAGCATCCCTCCCTCTCAGGGCTGCTGTGTGGCTTAGAGGAGATGATGCCCTGTGGGAAGGTACTCAGCATAGAGCCCAACACACAGCAAGAGTGCCATACAAGGGGGTTGAGATTTTTATTACACTTGGTATGACAAATCCACAAAACCTCCCTGGCAAAACGGACCAGGTTGGTTCCCCTAAACCCTGAAATCTTCCCCTGGCTAATGACCTTTGCTGGCCAGTGGCTTTGTCTGAAATCCTGTCTGGGGCTTCCCTGGACCAGCTTCATGTCCCTGAGAAGGCTCACAGCGACCCCTGCTGTCCTGCACTCAGAACTGCCTCAAATCCCTAGCCAGAGTGAACAACAAAAGCCAGGCAGAGCCTTCCAAGGAGGGTGCCCGCATCGGGGGTTTAGGAATCTCCCATCAGAGCAACGGTAGGAAAAGTGATACCACGTGTAATTATGTTCGGTGGACACTAATTCCCTCTATTCTAAAAATAAATATAATACTTGAGATCAAACAAAGCGCTTTCCCTTCCCTTCTGTCTTTTGTTTCCCCGGATAAGTGTCATCCTAAACACACTGCAGAATCAAGTGAAACTGTCATTGCGTAGGATATTATTTCCTGATCAACATGTGCTGTTCTTAGCAAGCCTGTTTTGATCTGGCAGTTCTTGGGCTGCTTTATAGAAAGCAGAAGCATGTTAAAACAAGCAGACAAATGTGAGAAGCTGAGGATATGCACTAGAATCCTGTAAGAAACGACTTCACGTGCTCCTCTCGACTAATCTACCCAGGTGCAGGGAAGTGGAAAACACCCCCCCGGGTTGTG